CCAGTGCACTCTTCCCTACAAAGAATTTAATGTGAGAAATAAGACAAAGTGGCACGGCACATACCTTTTTTGGGTCAGTTGTGGGGCCTGAACTCAGGGCTTGAGTGCTGTCCTTGAGCTTTTTCCACTCAAAGCTAGCATTCTACTACTTTGAGCCACAGCACCACTTCCGGTTTTCTGGTGGTTAACTGGAGATGAGTCTCATGGACTTTCCTACCAGAGCTACATAGAACTGTGATCCTCAGATCTCAGCCTCCTGAGAAGCTAGGCTTACAGGTATAAGCTACCAGCACCCAGTGACACAGGAAAAAGTTTGTGTGTGTGTGTGGGTACTTGTGCCTCATGCCTGTAATCCTAGCTACTCAGGAAGGTGAGGTCTGAGGATCATAGTTTGAAGCCAGCTTGAGGAATAAAGTTTGTGAGACTTTTGGTTTTTTTTGGGTCGGGTCGTGGGGCCTGAACTCTGGGCCTGGGCGCTGTCCCTCAGCTCTTCAGCTCAAGGCTAGCGCTCTACCACTTGAGCCACAGCGCCACTTCCGGCTTTTTCTTTCTTGCTTATGTGGTGCTGAGGAATTGAACCCAGGGTCTCAGGCATGCAAGGCAAGCGCTCTACCACTGAGCCACCTTCCCAGCCCCAAGTTTGTAAGACTTTTATCTCCAATTAATCATCAAAAAAGCCAGATTGAGGTTCAAAGCTAGCCCCAACAGGAAAGTCTGTCAGAATCTTTTTGTGTGTGCCAGTCATGGGGCTTGAATTCAGTATACTGTCCCTGACTTTTTTTTCTTAAGGCTAGTGCTTTACCACTTGAGCCACACCTCCACCTCTGGCCTCTTTGTACTTAAGAGAAATGAAACTCATGGACTTTGCTCAGGCTGGCTTTGAACCTTGAGGGTCAGATCTCAGTAGCTGGGAGTACAGATGTGAGCCACCAACACCCAGTTTAGGAGAATCCTATCTCTACATAACCAGTAAAAACTCGGAAGTGGAGCTCTGACTTAAGTTACTGGGAATGACAGGTGTGTCCACCATACCCAGGCTTTCAACTTCCCTTGTAGCTGTGATAATAGGCCTGTACTACCACACCCAGTCATTGGTTGGGTGAGATGGAGTCTAGCATAATTGTGATCCTCTGATCCCTACCTCCCATATAGCTAGGATTATAGGGTTGAGCATCACACATAGCCACCATCAGCTTTTAATACTTCCTGTTGGTTATACTCCATTTTGCTTCTGTACTTTAAATTGTTAAAACATCCCAGAATGTATATTTCCTGACAAATCTCAAATTTTCATTTCCCAAATTGGAAGAGGATGATTAGTTTTGGCTAAACAATGCTTGAGGTTTTTCCTCTGGTTAAAAAAAAACAGTATCAGGTGCCAGTGGCTCATGCTTGTAAATCATAGCTACTCAGGGAGGCTGAGATTTGAAGCTAGCCTGGGCAGGAAAGTCCTTGAGATCCTTATCTCCATCTAAGGGGGGTGGGGGAGGGAGACGGGACCGGAGGAGTAGCCAGAAGTGAAGCTGTGGCTCACTAGCCTTGAGCAAAGCTCAGGGCAGCAGAGTTCAAGCTCCAGGGACAATGCCCAGGCCCCCAGTTTAAGCAGTAGGGCAGCACCTAGGCCCTGAGATCAAGCTCAGGACCAGCACGTGTGCATACATGCATGTGGGCGCGTACACACACATTCCAATAGCCAGTAATTATCAAGTTGCTTCTTATCCATACACACAATTCTTCCAGCTATACTGAGCTTCCCAATAGAACTAGCCAGATAGTTAATCTTTTTTATTTTTATTTTTTGTCGGTCCTGGAGCTTGAACTCTGGGCTTGGGTGCTGTCCCTCAGCTCTTCAGCTCAAGGCTAGCACTGTACCACTTGAGCCAAAGCACCACTTCCGGTTTTCTAGTGGTTTATTGGAGATAAGAGTTTCACGGACTTTCCTGCCCGGGCTGGCTTTGAACCGAGATACTCAGCCTCCTGAGTAGCTAGGATTACAGGTGTGAGCCACTGGCGCCCGGCCCAGATAGTTAATTTCGAACGAACTAAATTGAGATAGTTAAAATTTTGCAGTTACACTAGCCATAGTTCAAATGAACAAGTCATGTAGTGCTAGTACAACAGAGAAAAAGAGCATTTCCTCTATTCTAGGAAGTTTCACAGTGAGTGTTGTTCTAGACTATTTTTTAATCTAGAACTAGATCCTATGGCTTACTCCCAGGAATGGTTTAATAGGGCACAGGCCAATTGAAACCACGTTCATGGGCATGTCTTAAACTCTAGGATGCAAGTTTCATAACTTACAATTTGTAATAGTTCTGATGACTGCTGCCCATTCCGATTGTTTTCTGAATTAGCAATCTCCAGTTTCTTTTCTTTTCTTTTTTTTTTTGGTCTGGTCGTGGGGCCTGAACTCTGGGCCTGGGCGCTGTCCCTCAGCTCTTCAGCTCAAGGCTAGCGCTCTACCACTTGAGCCACAGTGCCACTTCCGGCTTTTTTCTTTTTGCTTATGTGGTGCTGAGGAATCAAACCCAGGGCCTCAGGCATGCAAGGCAAGAGCTCTACCACTGGGCCAACTTCCCAGCCCCTCCAGTTTCTTATTTATTAAATTCCTTCCTCCTCCCTTTTGGAGGTTAGAGTTGGGAAAGAGAAATTTTCAATCAGGTCATCTGGGTGTTAAAAAGCAGGAGTAATGTCATATTCCATTATGTAAATCAAAAGACCGGGTAAGTAGAGATTAGGCAGCCTCTTAGGGTTTCTGTATTTTGGTTCCCCTCCCCAATTCAGGCTTAGCTGCATTCTGAAATGAGAAAAATGTACATCCTGATCATGAATTCTTTTAGGCTTAAGCTAGCTCAGATTCATTCCGTGTATTAGGAGAAGCAGAATCCTAACTACAACATGTACATGCATACCATATACAGTATAGAGGAATATTGACATTTTCACATTGTGTACAACTTTGTGTCTACTTTGCCCCTGGATATCCTATCTTTCACTTTTTGTTTTTGACACAGGTCCTGCAATCCCTTTGCCGGTGCTGGACCTGACTGGCAATGCCTCTGCCTCCCTAGAAGCTGTGATGGTGGGTGCGGGCCAGCTTACCTGCTTTCCTTCTCATCTTGAGTCCACTTCTGCTTCCCTCCCCCCCCCCCCCCCCCATTAAGCTATGCCCTCTGCTACCTTTTTGGAAATGGAAGCTTTATTGGGTCAAATTTGGTAACATGTTAACTGACTTGTTATCTTGTGTTGCATTTTAATCTCAGGCTCCAGTTATTCAGTAACCACTGCTCTCAGGTACAATTGAATAAATACGTCATATTGGCCAGAGCAGGGAGTTTTGACTATGGAGAAACTGGCTTGAGCAGACCAGCATGCTTTTGGTCATGGAATGACTAAGAGACACAGCTTCCGGGGTCAGCTATGAAAAGCAGCAACCATGCTGAATGTAGACTCACTCTCGGGAGGTTGAAAGCCCTGCTGGCGGCTAAGCTACAGAGAGGAGGCCACCTTGGAAGTGCCAGGAGTTGGGGTGGCAGGCAGGGCCTCTGGGCCCTTAGAAAAGTTTCTCTTGTCTCAACAGCACTTGGAGAGTTGTTACGGGGATTTGAGGCGGCGGTGATCCCATGTGATGGATCTGGAAAAGGCCTTTTTGGGTACTTACTGTCTGCAGAATGAATTATGGCGAGCTAAGCCATAATTAGTTAGCAGGCAGATTACCACAGCTCCGCCAGGGAGGTACTCAGGCAAGGGGAGGTGCTGGTGCTGGAGATTCAGAGGGTGGAAATGCCCAAATCTTACTGTTCAGATGAGCTCTTACCTGTTAAGTAGTCATCCCACAGTAAAGCTGTCAGTGAGTAGATTTAAAAGACTCTAAAAACGTCAGAGCCTTTTTTCCCCCACCTTCATATGGCTCTGAGCTGGGCTCTTAAAACCTACGTGGACTCAAATAGGGCCCCCGGCTTAGACCTGCAGTCGTTTTCAGCTCCCTCTTTGGACAGAACTAACTTGGGAAGTGTTGAAAACTGGCATTCAACAAGAAGACAGCTGGGGACTCCAGCAATACACCCTGAGCTTTTTTTTTTCCCGGTCGTGGATCCTGAACTCTGGGCCTGGGCGCTGTCCCTGAGCTCTTCAGCTTAAGGCTACCACTTGAGCCACAGTGCCACTTCCGGTTGGTTTTCTGGTTCATTGGAGATAAAGATTTCAGGGACTTTCCTGCCCGAGCTGGTTTTGAACCGCGATCCTCAGATCTCAGCCCCCTGACTAGCTAGGATGACAGGCGTGAGCCGCGGGCGCCCGGCCGACACCCTGAACTTTTACACGTTCACTACGCGTTCGTCCAAGGGACACAACGGACACGACTCACTTCGGACCCCGGTGCCGGTGCCAAGGAGTGAGGGCGACCGGCCCGCTCTGCGCTCTTAACCCACCCGAGCCGCGCCGTGTGCACCCTGCGGACCGGCCTCGGGCCGAGCGCCTTCCCCGGGAAGCTCGGGCTCCTCTGCCGCGTCGGTGCCCCCGCGCCGCTTCCCGCGTCTCTCCCGGGTCCCGCACGGTGCACGGGGACCTTCCCGGCTGTCCACCGAGCTCGGGGAGCAGCGGGACGCGGGCGCGGGACGCCGCAGAGACCGAGACCACGCCGCTTCCTTGGCGCCCAGGCCCGGGCGCCCGACCTTCCCGCCGGGACCTCCGGGGCCACCGCCGCGGCCGTTCGCTGCTTTTTTGTTGTTGTTGTTGTTGTTGTTGCGGCGGTCCACCGCGCCGCAGCCTCGCGCCCGAAGCCGTGCGTGCGTGCGTGCGCGCGCGCGGGCAGGCGGGCGGCCCGGACTCGCGTCACCGAGCCCGCGTCACCGAGCCGAGCGCGGCCCGCGCCGCTCTGGCCCGCGCCGGCTCGATGGTCTCCGCGCGGCCCCGGGGCCCGCGCGGCCTCGTCGCCAGGGGGCGCGCTGGCCGGCGCCGCCGACTCGGAGGTGCGCGGCCCGGCCGGGTCCGCCATATTGGATGCCGCAGCCGCCGCGGCCAGCGCTTCCTCTTGTGTCTTCGCGGTGCGCTGCTGGTTCCTGCAGCCCGAGCGGCGGGAGAGGCGAAGCGAGAACCTCCGGGAGGAAAAGGAAGAAGGAGCGGGGTGGGGCGCGCGGGGACCCGGGCCTGAGCGCGGGACACCGAGCCCGAGCGGGGCGGAGAAGAGAAGGCGCCGCGCCAGCCCCTCCCCCGCCGCGGCCCGCCCGCCCCGGCAGCCCGAGCCCAGCCCGCCGCTGCGCCCGCCCCGCGGCCATGCCGGGGCCCGGCCGCCCCTGAGGGAGCCGCGTCCGCCCGCCCGCCCGCCGCCGCCGCCGCCGCGTCCCCCGCCGGCCCCGTCCTGCGCTTCCCACCCGCTGCGGCGGCCGCCGCCTCTTCCGCCGCCGGGCCCGGGCCTCCGCGCAGACAACATGGAGGCCGTGAAGACCTTCAACAGCGAGGTTGGTACCGCGATCGGGCTCCTCTCCTGCCCGCCCCGGCCCGGCGGCGCTCGGGCCCCCCTTTCCCCCCCACCCCCAGGCCCCGCGCGGAGGGTGGGCGCGGGCCTTCCCGGGCGGGGCGGCCGGGCCCCGCCGCGGCGGGGGGGAGGGGAGGGGAGCGGGCAGCGCCGCCCCGCGGAGGGCGGTTCCGGGGCGGAGAGGTTCCGGGGCGGCCGGCGGTCCGCGGGCGGCGGCGGCGGCGGCGGCGGCGCGGGTCCCAGGCCCGCCCCCCCCCCCGGGACCTCCTCCTCCCCCCAGGCCCCGCGCGGCACGGGGCGCGCGCGCCGGCCGCGGGACCTCCCTCTGCAGACCTTCCCGGCCTGCTCCGGCGGGCTGCACGGCGGGGCCCGGAGGACCCCGGGCGCTGGTGCGCCGTGGTAACCCGCACCGCTCTGTGCGGGAGCGGTGGCGGGGCTCCGTGAATCCTCCCTGCCCGGTGCTGTCATCACCCATGATAGGGGAGAATCGGTTCCCGCGGGCTCTTCCCGGTCCCACCGGAGCCCCGGGCTCGTCGATTTACTTTTCATGTTTTGTAAACATGCAGGTGTGGGGTTTTCTCTGTGTAATCGAACTTACCGATCCGGAAGACAGACTTGAATATACAGTCTACATGGCTGTTAGCATGCATGTCCGACGTGTGTATTGCACGTGCACGTGTAGCGCACGTACCGTGCACATCACACAGGTGCGTGTGCGCACATACACTCGATTGCATATCGATATCGACACATTTAGCGTTTGATTTCTTTTGAAGATGTGATTTCAGTTTAGTTCCCACATGAAACGGAGCAAGTACGCATCCGGACAGCATTATTTCTTACCTTTAACCCTTAAGTGTGATGCTAACTGAGTTACCATAGTTTCTATGAACTTCTGATTTGGAAGTGGTCATACTCTATTCGATGATGGTTGTGAAATGTCTCAAGTACCGCCTTCAGAACATACCAGACTGTGATTACCGAAACAGACCACAGCTTTTAAATGCCCTTTACACCACGTGTGGTGCCACATTACATAACCTTTTTTGTAAAGGATTTTTTTAAGGCTTTTATCTTTAAAAATATCTTTTTGATACATAACTAGAAGATTTGAGATTTTTATGGATTCACAGCTGACAACTTGGGATGGAGAAGCTATCTCTATTTGTAAAATCTGGTTCTCCTACCCAATACATTGTAGTAGTTAGGATATAGAATAGAAAAAATTTAGTGATGAAATGATACAATGTGTCCAGTTCTTGTTAGTGGTTTTGAAAGAACCACGTAGCTTTTGCATTTGCTACACACAATGCTACAATTATTACACACGAAGATTTTTAAATTATTAAAAAAATCCTTATTTCCACAGCAATTTAATTAGACATAACGGTCTTGTAAAGTTTTAATGTCTGTGTTTAGGAGGTCTCCAATACATGCCCTCGTCCTTGCCGTCCTGGGTGTTTTCAGCAGAACTCCTCCCTGGGGATGGAAACTAGTGCTAGTGCCCTCTCTTCACAGAAGAGCACAGTGAAGAAGAAATAGTATTTTCTAGTTTTTTTTAAAATTCTGATTAAAGATAAGAGGCCTGACATGTACATGCCTAGCTAGGTGAGCCACCACACACCTAATTTTTGCAGGACCGTGCAATTTCTGGTAGTTTCATTTTAATGTGTGTAGTCCCCTCACCTCCATGGATTTCAAAGAATTTTTAACGTTTTTTGGCTTTATCATTTACTAACGTGCTGTGTGTTTATCATGTTTTAGAGATTACTTAAATAGGATGAAATTTTGAAGTGAAGTTCATCTAGAAGATTCAGAAAAACAGACATTAATTGTCTTGTTTAGACAGCCTTGTAAACTTAAGCATTAGAGTTTTTTGTATTTGCAATGTACTATTATTGTTATTGCAAGTAGGCATATACTGAGAAGTGCAGTAAGTAATGTATTCCGTTAAGTTGTATTGCTAAGTACAAAAATATGAAAAAGTATCTGAGTGACAGGATTAGGAAAAACTGTACTGTGAATTTGGCTTTTAGAAGCCTTTTTTCTTAGGTTAAGTTTATCTCAACTTTACTGCTAAGTTTCAAAGTATCTTTGAAGGACAATTACTGTGAAATTCTGTTTGCCTCAACAAGGTATCAAAATTTAGCTCAGGATCATTGCACATGTTTTTCAACAAGACATTTTTGTGCCTTAAAATGTTTCAAATATGAAATGCTTTTATGGCTTGCTAATCCTCAGTTTCCAAGCCTGAACTTTACCACTCAGTTTTCAACTTAACAGAGAACATTAGCTTGAAAATAACAGCATGCCTGAGTTTCCTAAGATAAGAAAATGCAAAATATGGATGTCTCTCAGTGTGAAAGCCCCTGGCCTCGCTGGTATGGTGGGTGTGAATCCTCACCGCTGTCTGTCTCCCCCCTACAGTTTCTTAACATGTGGAAAATTACTATGTCAGAAGATTACTTGATTGTGTAAGAATTTTGGTAAATTTCTCTTAATCATGATTTGAGTGAGATTTGGGTTCTAGAATTCTTTTTTTTTTTTAAGTGCCCAGTTTGCTGATTTTGTGTGGAAACCACAATTTTTATTTCAGCCCCAACACAGTGATGAAAGTTAATTTACCACAACTGAAGTGGAATTTTTAGACCTCAGGCCCAGACACCTGAGATTCCACCATGTCAGGTCTGGCCGTTTGCCCCTGCACACGAGATAGAGACATGGTGATGGACAGAGAAAGGAGATTTATTACATGGCCTGGGCATGCCTTGGGAAGACAGTATTTCACTTCATTTCTTTTTTTGGTCCAGTCGTGGGGCCTGAAATCTGTCTCTCAGCTCTTCAGCTCAAGGCTTGTGCTCTACCACTTGAGCCACAGCGCCACTTCTGATTTTTTTCTGTTTTGCTTATGTAGTGCTGAGGAATCGAACCCAGGGCCCTCATGCATGCAAGGCAAGTGCTCTACCACTGAGCCACCTTCCCAGCCTCACTGCATTTCTAGCCAACTTAAATGGACAAAAAAATTGGGAGCAAGGAGATATAGGAAGGCATAAACAGTCCCAATCACTGGTGTGTTGTGGTAGTCTGAGATGACAGGCATGGTCTCAGAATTGGTTAGGTGGAGCCTTGTTAAAATAAGAGTCATTGGTGCCAGTGTAGAGTAGCCTGCTGTTCTTTCTGCTCCTCCCTAGGCCAGAGAGCATGACTCAAGGCAGAGGACACAGATACAGAGCTAAGGCTGGGATAACAGGCTTCTATCTGCTTTCAACTAATACGTGGACCAGTAAGGAGTTGGTGTTACTCATCAAAAGCTGCTGTTGAGCCTTTTATGTGAAGACTATTGTCAATTTTGAAATGATGAAAGGAGTTTGTCAAGATTGGATGATAAGACTCTTTATGAGTTGATGTTTGGAGTAGTTAATGAAACAAGTTAATTTTTGGGTTTATCTTGGTTTATAAATTCAGAAAGGATTCTATTACCTTTTATCATCCTTAGATTACTTAAATCCGTGGTGGTTTTTGTCCTTAGAATCCTGTAATTAGCCAGATAAGTAGCTCTGTAAACTGTTCAAGAATACAAAGTTTCCAGATGCAACATTCAGTACATTTTCTTTCATGTTCTATCTTATTTCCATTTTACTTCATTTTCAGTTTTATCCAGAGTGTACATTCTGTCTAACTCTAGGACTTTTTATAATCTTTCCAGCAATATCTAGTAGTAGACATGGGATAGAAGAGAAAAGTGAAAAAGGCAGATAGAAAAACTTTTCTTTTTAGTTTATTTTCCCTGTGTGGTTTGGGAAAGAACATTATCTGAAGCATCCATAAAACATGACACTTCTCTTTGATTTTCATGACACTTCTCTTTGATTTTCATCCATCAGGGCAGATGTTTCCTTTTTCTTTGCTGGTTGTATTTATTTATTTATTTGTCAGTCCTGGGGCTTGAACTCAGGGCCTGGGCACTATCCCTGAGCTGCTTTTTGCTCAAGGTTAGCACTCTACCACTTGAGCCACAGCACCACTGTTCATGTGATACTGAGGAATCGAACCTAGGGCTTATGCATGCTAGAATAACACTCTACCGCTAAGCCACATCCCAGTTCCTGCTGGTTGTATTTTCTAGTGACTGCATTGTAATTGTTAGTTGCTAATTTTTTTTTCCATCTTGTTGAAAATCCCTTGCAAGAAGGAAGAATTCCACTAGCCTCTCCCTGCCCTAGTTGTTTACATTAGGGTTTCTTAATCGTGACTCCTTTGCTTCTTTAAGGTGGATAATTTTTGTGGGTAGCAGTTTTTTGCATAGTAGGATGTTTGGCAGCATCCCTGCCTTTACCAGCTATGTAGATACCATTGGCATCTTACCCATTGTCTTAACCAGAACACTCTCTTGGAATACTAAATAAATATCCTTTGTGGGACAATAAAATCTTGTTTGAGAATGATTGATTTACATCCTGTCGGCTGTCTAGAGAACACTTGGGTGCTTTCCCTGTAGTGATCAACATCATTCTAGGTACATAGTCTTTATCTTGGTCTGTAAGTTCTGTGAGAATGGTGACCATGTATCCTTATTGCTTCCTATCCTTGGTGCATAGCCCAATTTTTCATACCTAGGGTTGTATATGTATGGTACCCAGCACAGGTTTTCATACCTGGTAAATACATGTGGTCTATAGCATAGATTTTTTTTTTATACTTAGCACATATGAAAGAGAGAGAGACAGGCAGACAGACAGACTGTGTGTGTGCGTGTGTGTGTGTGTGTGTGTGTGTGTGTGTGTGTGTGTCCTGGATCTTGAACTCAGGGTCTAGATGCTGTTCCTGAGAATTTTTGCTCAAGGCTGGTGCTCTATAATTTGAGTCACATTGCTGGTTCCAGCGTTTTGTGGTTAATTGGTGATAAGGGTCTCATGGACTTTCCTGTTTGGACTATGATCCTCAAATCTCAGCCTACTAAGTAGCTGGGATTACAGGCCTGAG